TGATCGCTAAAGAAATTTCAAATAAGGATTTCAAATTATATGTGTGTGTGTGTGTGTGTGTGTGTGTGTGTGTGTGTGTGTGTGTGTGTTAGTTATGTATGTTCCAGCCTACCTCTGGAACGCCTTAAGCAATTTCAACCAAACTTGGCATACAGATGACTTACACTCTGAAGAAAAAATACTGTGGGAGTAAGACACCGGTAACATCCCTCAGGATGTATGTTCTGTTAAGTTGCAGCATGTTGTACCTTTAAATGGCTTCTAATGTATTGCTGTAAAATTGCTTCTACTGTACAATGTAGTGGAGTTGCCATGGTAACGGCTTCACAGTACTCCACAAGGGGGCTCCCTCTGATAAGGGGGAAAATTCAACATTAGAAATTACATTTGGTCCGGACATTTCCCCCCTATAAATAAATACCCAGTCAACGCCGGGTTATCAGCTACTAGTACATAAAAGTATCATATTACTTTTCATCCAAATTCCAAAACAAATCTACCAGAAATGAGAATAAGTATCAAGAATAATTCAAAAATAATTGAAAATCAAAAGTCTGTGGCTGGAGAAGGCTAATCTAAAAAGGTGGAGTTTGGTAAGCCTAAATGGATCAGGTACTGTCTGGCACAGCAGAAGAAAGATATCTGAACATTGCCATTGGGGACAATATCCCCACCTGCGATGCCAGAAAACATTTTAAAAGCCTCAGCCTAGCCAGCAAGGTTTCTCTCTGAATATGCAAGTATTTGGAAGGATGATATTAAGGTTGATTTTTTTTAAGGTTTCTCAATATTTGGAAAGGAAGTGTATGCCCTAAAATGATAAGATCCAGTCCTAACTTGAATTTTATTGAACATTTTTGCACTTCTAATATGAATGATCTTATTGTATTTATTTACTTGAGTGATTTCTATGCCATCCAATTCTTGCAAATGATACAAAATAAAGTAGATAAAGTAGATATTTAAATAAAATAATAATAACAACATCCAAAATTTGACAAACCCATTTCTAGCCCATGCACACTGAAAAAAAAATAGTGTTGATCAATCAGCAGAAAATGGATCTACAAATATTAAACTCTCCTGTCCAACATGACATTTGATCAATTATGGCTTTTACGTAATACCTTTAAATAAAATAAAATGTATACTACATTATCATTCTTAATTTAGTATGTTTGAAGCCCAACCAAAGCCTAATTTTAGTCCAAACATACTCATACTATTCTGTGCAACTAAGTTCTCTTACTTAGATAGCTCTAATCTAGACAGGTTCTGTAATCTAGATACTACCTTGCAAGCCAACAGACTACTAACCTTAAAATGCACACAATCAGGATGCAGAGAGCCTTTTTATCAATGATGATTAACTGATTTGTTAAAGCTTGCCCTCATCTTTAACACTATCAACAGCAGNCCTATTGGTCTCCGAACACGCTTCAAGTGTTGGTTATCACCTTTAAAGCCCTACATGGCCTAGGACCTGGATATCTCCATGACCGCCTCCTGCAACATACCTCCCAGCGCCCAATAAGATCGCACAGGGTGGGCCTTCTCCGGGTGCCATCGGCTACACAATAGGACTCTATACATCTTTTGGTAGCTTTCCATTTCTACCCATATTTGATTATCCCAAACACTTATCATGTCACAACCTTTTAATTCAACAAACATACTACACAGAAATTACCTGGTAGAAGAGGTGCTTGGTAAAGATCTCCTCATTGCTCCTGGGCTCATACTGTAATACGAGGAACTTTCCAAATCTGAGAGTGAAAAATTAGGGCCTGTTCCTGCAGCTATTGGTGCTGGAAAAAAAGAGAAAAAAGTTAGGAAATGATGTGAAAAATTATCACCTTCATTTTGATGACTTGACGCAGCATAGAAATCGAAAGATATGTGATAGCTGGCACTATAACATTAAGGCATTTTTCATTTAATCTTTTCCTTGCAATTATTTTTTTGTAAAACGAAAGTCTAACTTTTACTGATATATTTTAATACCCTCCTTTGTTAATACTATATGAGAAGTGCTACTTCTGAAAAACTTTCCTCATGACTGATACATTGGGCAACTTCATGAAACTTTCAACCAATTTTCACCACGTATTGTTCTGTGAAATGGTTATGTTTGTAACTTGCTATAGTTTCCTTTGACTATCACATGCATGCAATAAAGCAATTTATTTATATATTAACAAAAATACTTCTAACTTTTTCCTCTGCAGAGTAAAAGAAGGCATGAATCTATTTCTGTCAATAATATGGATTTGATATTCACATATGATGTCACTAAATGTCTTTACAGTTAAGCATTACATTGTCTGATACATGTGCAGTTAACACACTTTTTTATAAGAATCTAAAATCTGCCCTTGCCTTATAAGGAAACTATTTTTTTCAAGAATTAAGATTTATTGTGTATATTTCAATTGGGTTTCAACTATTGAAAATAAAAACACTGTGCAAAACTGGTTATTCAATCATAGGCATATAATAATGCTTATTCCCAAATTCATATTCTTCACGCTGAATGTATATCACAGGTATCAAATTGCATACTATTCTTCATCAATGAATGCAAATAAAGTTATACTTTCAGTTGTAATTAGTGAAGGTTTTACAGCTACACATTCATTACTGAATGGAGCAGTTCATAGCTATATATCTGGGATGGCGAACATATGGCACGCGTGCCATAGGTGGCACACAGAACCATTAGTCAGGGCACATGAGGCATTGCCCTGTCAGCTGGCCAGTGCACATGCATGCTGGCAAGCTGAGTTTAGCCTTTTTAAAAGCCATTTTTGCCCTCTCCACACTCCACAGGCTTTTATAGGAGCCTGGGGAAGGCAAAAAGAGCCCCCCGCTCCCCGGAGTCCCTCCGGAGCTTCCCGGAAGCCTCCAGAGTGCAAAAACCAGCCCTATGAGCAAACTGGAAGTTTGGGAACGGACTTCCGTTTTGCTCGTAGGGTCGGTTTAAGCCCTCTGGAGGCTTCAGGGAAGCTTCCTGAAGGTCCCTGAAGCCCCCGGAGGGCCTCTGAGGGAGCAGGGGAGGCTCTTTTCGCCCTCTCCAGGCTCCTATAAAGCCTCTGGAGCCTGGGGAGGGTGAAAAAAGAATGCAAAAATGGGGGGTCACACCTCTCATGTGCGCATGTGCACTGGGGGGTGTGTCATGTGTTGCATTATGGGTGTGGCACACCCATGCATGACCCCCCCTGCGCTGCCCTCACTTATGGCACATGAGCCAAAAAATGTTCGCCATTGCTGCTATATACTGTTCTGGGCACTGTGTACCATGGGCAGTCAAACCATTCTTTGATATTACATATGAACAATTCTTCGCAAAAATAGCAATATGCAAGTATCATTAAATTACAACAGCCAATGATGCTGCCTATTTATCCATTTAATTCTTTTCAATGCAGTGTTATATGTATTAAACAAAGGCCATTAAAATAAATGAAATAATTCATTTATACATTTATATT